TGGTCTATCGTTTTTATTTTTGTCCCTTTATTGCTAACCGGTCTTCTACATCTAATGAAATGCAAGATACCACAATCAGTAAAACTAACATTTTCTCTGTCTAACTGAGAGTCGAGGTTTACTCTTCTGTCTACTGAAGGCCAAGCAAAATAAACAGTCGGCCAAGCGTCCCTCGAGATTCTACGGTAAATATGTTCACGTCTGGTGGAATGGCATTAAGTAGTGTATTGTAAATGTGAACCATTTAAAAATGCGCAGTATGAGTTATCCATGTTGTAAAAGTAATTAAAATAGCTTACTTAACTGGGCTGTTAAATGTTACCCTACCCTTCGGGAAGGTAAGGTAAGGCACAGGGAAGGAGTGTCAAGTTATTTTATCAACTAATTTATCGTAAAATACGATAATTGTGAAATTTCATCGTTGATTAAATTAACTTGTAAATCTATTCCGCTTATTTCTGAAACGATGGCACAACAATCCTATACCCCCAAAAGAATATATTTATACTTTTTCTAAATGTTGCGTGTTGCAGTTAAAAGAATACACTTGCACAATGCCTAGTAACCTCAATAGAGTCTCCCAATGACCCTTAAGATGAACATAGACAAGACGAACAATATGTCGAGTGATAATGTGCTTACTGCCTTTATGTTTGAGAGCTCCGTTCTTTAAACAGTTGATGCCTATGTGTAGAAGGGATAAATAATCTAACAAGGCAGTTTAACTCTGAGAAAGAAGTCAAACGTCGGATCCAACTCGTATGAGAGGCGTTTTCCACAACAATAGAGGAGGCAATGCTCGGTATTTCTCCCCGGGATCGATGTTTGTAAAACAAGCATATACTGTATTTTTAGCTGCTTAAATATCAGAAGATCAAATACCTCCATAAATTAAATAATGAAATAGATTTTATTTAATTAACGAATAAAAGATCTACTAAAGTCTTCTCCATATCAACAACAACAATCCTCAAATTACGATTATACAAATGAAGTTCTATTTTCTGTAAACAATTTAATTAATTTTATTTATTCTCATTGAAGTGGGTCTGCTTATTGAATCGAAATCGTCAGATGTTTATTAAAAATTTTAATAAACAAAAACAAAAGCTTTTTGTGACAGTCCATCGAGTTAAACAGCGTAATGTAATTCACAATACAATGTACAATATAATGTATATCAATGCATTATTCACTTTTCAAAATTGACACTTAGGGTGTTTTGATGAAAATACTGAAAAAAGTTCTACTATTGCATTCAAAATAACGACAATTTTCGACTTCGTGTAACAAAAATGAGGTTTTTAAGAGACTGCGAAGTATCTGAAAGTATAGGTACTATGTCCAAAAATCAATTCATTTATCGTTCGTATGTCTTCTTGTAAAGTGCTTAAAGTCTCTTCGAATCATTCAATCTTTTTTGTTTTCGTGATTCAATCTTTATAGTTTATTAAAATATGTTATCTTTTTAGTGTTTTTCATTCCACGGATAACAAGGAACGTGTTAATCCCTAGATGATTTACACCCAGTCCATCAGCTTCTTTCTGAGTCTTTTAATTTCTGATTATTTCTTTATGATTTTTGTTTAATGATGAAAAAAATATTAATCGAAAACTCCGGTAAAAGGCGAAAGAATTGTTTCCTGTTACCAAAGGCGTGTTCCATTCTGAATGGTGTAATAGGTACCCAATCAAAAGGTATAAAACAGGTGTAACTCATTAGCTCAATGTTAAAATCTAAAATAAAATGTCATTTTTTAAATTTATATAATCAATACCATGCCATTGCAATTTTTACTTTCGAAATCACACCACCAGCCAGAAACATATTCCAAATTTAACATACTGGGGATGGTATATACAATAATGGTAACCGGTTTACACAGTGATTATTACAAGTAGAAGGAAACAATAAAATGTGGTAGGTACATAACTATTCAATGAAAACAGCTAATGTGCAAATTAAAAGAACTTGGATACAATTTACTCTTCATTTACTGAGTTTTCACTGCTTAGTGTTTAAAGATTTGCTAAGCTTAGTTTGATAGATCCAGATAATAAGTCCCACCTGGATGAATTTTTAAGTGTGTGTGTGTGTGCCTGAGGGTTCCCACATCGAGAGTTTCTTGGTATCTGCACGTGGGATTCTTTTCAAATTCCTGAATAAAAAAGGTGCCTTTTTTTTACAATTTTAAATAAGTTATTAATTCGCATTCAGTTTAATCCTTCTTTAGAAGATGAAAAAAGTGATAATTGCATTAATTCTCAAAACACGATGAACAATTACTAATGGTCTCCTCATCATTTGTTTGAGATTCTTGTAGCGACCGTGTTGCCAACAGTTAAATGAACTCTCCACTAGAGTCAACATTTAAAACCACCAGAAAACCACTAACGAAAAACGACCCTACTCTAACAGCCATTAAATTTTTCACTTAACATTTTTTTTAGTAATTACCTAAGGAAACCATAAGTAAATTAATAACTAGTGTCCTTAATATTATTAACATTTAATTCTGATACTAATCGTTTTTGTCAGCATCATCATAGTAGATGAATGATTAATAGGATTCTTTGGTAGCGATTTGTTTTACAACTTTTATTGGAATTTCACATTTGTTGCAGCGTTCTCCTTCTAACTTCAAACCTTAACATAGCAGATAAAAGATTTAAGTTAATTCTATTCCTCTGTACCTATCGTATCTCAACTCGACATGGGCATCGAAACAATACTAATAACGATAACGATAATACTGCCTAGTATTAAGAGAGTAATACCAAAGGTTGCGAATTCTTCAAATGTCGAAGTCCCTTGGCCCGCTTGGGCATCTTTGAAGAGCAATAAGACCACGAAGATGTTCCATCAAACGGTAGCAATTTTAAGAAGCAACACGAAGTATCGAAGAAGCAGCAGTTACCGTAGTCAACGTCCCGTTTCCAATTTTGAGATCTGCAATCTGGGTTTCGGCTTCAGTGAGATTGTTGTCGTGTTGAAGAAACTGATCCTTCACTACCAAATCGCCTCTGGTCAGCCTCTTGCTGGCGCTGGTTTCTCGTACGGATGCCTTCCTCTTTTCTTTGGTTAAAACCGGCATACTTTTATCCCACTTCTGACACCAAATTGTTACGAGCGGGGTATACAATAAATAAAAGTTGTCGGTTAATTACCGTTATTGCACTGTATTTACAAACACTCACTATTACAAACAAGAAATCACTATATTAACAATAAATTCGCTTTTATGTTAATTCGCTGTGTCGTAGAACGATACTGTCCCGTACTCATACACTACGCTTTTATAGTGCTATCGAAATTACTAGAATAATCTCGAAGATCCAGTATCAGTTAACCGTTACTTGATTTTTACTTAATTATTAATCAAAATCTCAATAGTTGTACTTCACTTGCTACTAGATGGCGCTGTCCTCCACATTCCATACATTTCTCGAGCAATCGATCCTATGGCGCAACAATATCAATCTTCATTTCTCTTCTGCTACTGTACCCGATCATTAAACATAGACTCAGACCTTGAATTATATCGCTAGTCTGCCATGACCAAAATAAATATTGTCCACTTTGAATTTACTCCTGTGCCTTCTAGGGAAATCAAAAAGATCATGCTGTCTGTCTGTCGTAACGCAATGATTTTCAATCGTAGCATGATAGTTACCAATCTGGATTGCATCCTCGAAGTTATAGCCCACATTATTGACTTCTTTCTCGACTCCGAAAACTTTTCCTCTCTCTGGCACAAAGTCCACATCATCCATTTGCCTAAAATTAAAGACCTTAATTAATCCTTCTCTTTCTGGGCCTATCCTATCCTATCCAATCACCATCCTTCCTTTCCTATCAAACGTTCTTGAGGTTTGCGTACACAAACAGTTCTCACAGTTCATCTTTCCACAGCATTGCTTAAGCCCTCTACAATCTTACTATTACTACTAACCACTAGCAACTAAAAGCAAAATTTCGTCACCAAAAGACGGGGTCGAAACCCCTTTTCGGTTGGCAGCACTGCGAAGCGAGATCGCGAGAATCGCTACAATTGCTGTCTGGAAAGTTTTAAACAAGTAGCGTTATCTACTTGTTTAAAAACAGTAAACTAGAAGTCACAAGATGGAAAGTCTAAGCTGAGATTACCACAAATGGTAATAATGGTATTCCACAACAACTCACAGATGGCGTTTATTTCAACAAACCAATTAGTGCAAGTGATGCTTATTCACAGATGAACCCACATGCTTTTTGATAATATCTCACAGAAGATTGATCTAGATCGGAAACGGGAAATGGCTCATAACTACAATTAAGATTTTTGACATGGTTTAAATGTATGATAGAGCGTCGAAGGCAATGGCGCTGTGTATCTACCTACCTACATAATATTGACTAATGGTATTATAATTGACCACCCTTTTAGCCTGCCCCAGCTTTTAGCATTAGTCTTTGACTACATCTAAATATGTGATATATGTGTGTTGCCCTAAGGGGACACAGGTGACTCCTTACAATCAGGCATTTTTAGTCAACTTATTAACATAGGGAAAAATAAAAATTAACACCACTCGCACTGAGGCAACAATAATTCTAGGTTTGCTCTAGGAGTAATATTATTATTTAAAAAAAAGAAACTTTTAAGACATTTATTTATTAATAAATTATATAAAATCTCCAAAGCCACTAGTTGTAGTGAAAAAGACAAAAGATTAAAGTAGGCAAAGGATAGTAACAATTACATTTTCTTGTCCAGAAAAAAACCAGAAAAAAACCATTAATCACAAGTCTATTATCAATCTATAAATAATATTCAGTATTCGTGAGATTCAGTGAGGTGTGATAATTTAATGATACCTTTGTACTTAATCTAATTTATAGATTCAAACATATTTTTAGGGAATTATTAGCATCAATATAATTATATAGTACAAATATTATATGGTTTGAAAAATAGAATTAAATAAACCCTTGTATTCCAGATTCATAGAAAATTATTTCAATTGAGAATTATAGTTGGTGGAGACAATAATATAACTATCTCATCATTATCATTGGCAGAACTTTCTTGCTTAATTTTTGGACAATTAAATTTTATTTCATCTAATTTCTCATCTCGTTTCTCAACAAGCATAGTACAACGGTGATTTTTGCACATATGTTTACTGAGGGAACGCTTATTGTGAAACATTTTGTCACATTGTGGACACTGGATGTTACGCTCAAAATGACGTTTTTGATGTATGGCTAACTTTTCATCATTCTCACTAAACTGTCCACATACAAGACAAATGACATTTGTGCCAGTGTGCTTAGATCTATGTTTTCTAAGTGCAGTAACGGTACACATTTTATAATCACAGATATCACATTTTATACTTCTAGATTTCATATGAACCTTTTTCCTATGATTGTATACCTCACAGTATGTAAAAAATGAAGCCGCACAAATTTCACAGGAGTATGACTTGACACCGCTATGACGCAGCATATGCGTGGCTAAGTATCTTTTACTTTTTAACCTTTTATTGCAAACTTTGCATTGCACGCTTTCTTCATTGTGAGACTTCATGTGTCTGTAGTATTTTGTGCGTCCCTGTAAGTGTTTACCACAGAAGTTACATGTTGTTTCAATTCTGTAATCTTTATGAGTGGATTCTCTGTGAGCTTGAAGAGAAGCATGTTGTGTGAAACATTTTAAACAATCTTTACATTGAAACCTCCTTTCGCCAGAGTGTGTAGCTAAATGCATATCTATGTCTTTAATTCTTCTGGATTTATAATCACATTCTTTACAATGGAATACTCTCGCTTTTCCTTGACCCTCAATGCGTACTTTCGAAGCAGCATAACAGTTTCTGCTACTTCTTTTTTTGTGTAAATTGAATGATTTAAAAGATTTAAAAACTCTCTTACAATCATGGCAAATTAGTTTCTCAGGCTGGTGGATTTTTTTCCAGTGCACACGTAACTTACATTTGCTCTTAAAACTTTCACCGCAGTCATCACAAATCAATTTTAAGTCTATAGCTCTACTCTTTTTTATTAGTGTTTGAGATGTATCTTCTTCCTTTTCTGTATCATCTTCCAAGAGTTCTGTAGCATTTTCATTTTCAGAATATACCGTTCCATTGTCATCTTGTTTGAAACTACTTTCTTCTTCTATTAATTCTGCCTTCACAGGCACTTCTTCAGTTAATTCTATAACGCCAGACTTCTGGTTTATTTGTAAGAGCAATTCATTCTTCAGTATTTCATCAGAAGTTTCACATTTTTGCTTGAATGTAATAGCATTTTCGAGCTGTAGTAAACAGATTGGGCAAATTTTGTCTGGAAGTTTATCTCCCTGTTTTATATTGATGTTTGTTATTAAACTTATTTTTTCTGAAATTGAACAACCATTATATGTCTCGAATAGGGAAAGGCATTTGTTTGAATCTGTTATGTCATGCCGTAAACAAATGCGACAGTTGATGGTCTTAACATCCATTATTAACACATTTCAATGTAGAAACTACAGAAATTTAAGTTAAACGAACACAATAATAATCGAAACGACATATCACCTTGAGTTCTATTTTCCGATTCAATGCTACCAGCTCTAAAAAGTTGTGTTTAGAAATGCAAAAAGATATACTACTATTTAGGTACAACTTTGAAAAATTTAAACATTTCAGCTTACTTTATGTAACTCTCATGCACTTACTTTTTTAGGAATAAAGACATTGTATTAAGAGTTAGAGATGCCACGAATATTCGACAACTATTCAGTATTCGGCTAATTAGGCCATTTTTTTCTGAATTTCGTATTTGATTGAATATTTCGAACTATTCAGCCAAACACCGAATAGTAAATGACGAAAAAAGAATGCACAATATTACTCACAAATTATTTTATTCTACCAAAAACTTATCATAATAATACTTAACTCATTTTTTTTTACATTTATTGATAGGAAACGATCGAGCTTTTCTTCATAAATACTTTGGGAAAATAGCCGCTCAATGTACATACTGCTTTCAGAAGATGATAATTAAATCTGCGAGCATTTGCTGAACATTTTACTAATTCAGGTTTAAACCCGTGAAAGGTACTAAGTGTTGCCGAATATTCGTCTGACGAATATTCGGTGCTTCGGCTAAGAGACTCGCCGAATATTCGTTATTCGGCCTAATTACTATTCGTGGCATTTCTATTAAAAATATGTAGCGTCTCAGTTGCTTAGGATAAGAGTCGCACGCCACACTTTAATATGTTTATGTTAGTGATTTATTTTAAAGCAATGTTATTATTTCTTTCTTTAGATTTATTAAGCGTTTATTGCCAGAACTTTATTATTGTAAAATGTCTTTTAATAGAATGTTTCGAAATAAGAATAAAAAGTAGGCAGCATTAGACTTGACGTCCTTTAAAAATGTAAGGTGGGAATGGAATCGACGACCTCTGCTTTGGCATTCAAGATCAACAAGCCAGTCAATTTACTTTTTAGTGTTATGATAATTCGTTTGGGCGCATTCTTTGGTCCAATTTGTGATTATTAGTCCAGTTTGCAATTGGCCCAGTTCACAATTAGTTCAATTCCCAATTGGTACAGCCCGTAATTTAGGGGCGTGCTTGATTACGAAAGGTGTTTTTGACGACCTCCACGTGGTGAGATTAGACTCGAAGTAAAAATGCATATTGGTTTCAAAGGTGGAAATGGTTGAACGACTACAATGGAGTTCGGTTCTGGCACATGCCGGATGAATATAAGACATTTGGCGACAGAACCAATAATTTATTAATAAAAGCTAATATTATTTAGATGAGACGTGAGTCTTGATTTCTAAACTAAGAGACAAGCAAATCGTGTCTTAGAAACTACCATCCTCAAAGCCCACAACGAAATTTCGAGTTTCTTCTTCGAGAGAAATAAACCATTTTTTCAATTTAAAACGGTTGGTGTTGGTGACTATGTTTTCTTGATTTATATAATCATTTATATATAAAAAATAACTTGATTCGGTTAAAACCAAACTCATACTCTCGCACTCTCGTTGACATCGTCGATCGCGACGGCCTTGAAGACAACGTTGTCTCTTCCATGCACAAGTAAAATTCCGGCATTGTGTTAAAGATGCCTTCTAATCTAGTGTCTGTAATATAATAAAAGATATAAGTATAGGTAGGTATACCTACATACTTAATTTTTCTTGTAGTAGGTAATGTAGGTAGGTATATTAGTAGGTAATGTAGGAAGCGGTATTCTAAACGCATTGAATTAGAGATTATGTAGTAAAATAAAAATATTATTGTTTGAATTTTCTTATTTTTTTACTAATTAATTAATAAGTAATTTCAAGACCTTTTGGATCCTCATATTCGGAGGAAGCCATATAATCCAATAGTAATAATAATAATAATAATAATACTTTATTTTCACTAAGAGTTATAAACAGAGTACATAGATAACTACTGTGACAATGTTGACGCAATCAACTGTAGTCGCCGCCACGGTACAGCAGGGCCACTCTCTCGTGCTAGGAATAAACCTGTGTTACGAGTAGAGGGACGCCGCCATGGGAGCGTGCTCGCAGTCGTAACAGCTGGCACATGTTTACAGTAGCACTACATCAAGACTGGGTCCATATGTTAGGCAAGCCTGTATTTCGGATCCAGTCATACTTAAAACTAGGAAACATAAAAACGTATTCAAATATAGTTAAGAGAGCCATATCAGGTGTATTTAGTGTAATATGTTGAGATTGCATGTGCGTGTGTGTGTGTGTGTGTGTGTGCGCGTGTGTGCGTCTGTGTGTGTGTGTGTTTGCGTGTGCGTGTGTGTAAGAGAGAGTAAGCAAGTGTGTATATGAGTGAGTGTCTAAGCGTGGTTGTGTATACGAGTGTGTGTATGTTGAATGTGTTCCTACCCATATATTTTCAGATAAGAGTTTTAAACAAATTTTCTATTTCCGCATAGTTTAAGGTGCGTAGCCATGTTTTGAGAGTGCGGTGAAGTTTATGCTTATTCAGAGGATATATATTAAGAATTTTGTTGATTCTGTTATAAAGAAAACTGCTTACAACTTTATTGTGTCGTTTTGCCAGGGTTGTGTTGTGACGAATTGCGGGACATATTTTATTGAGTCGACGTGTATTTGTGTGAAGACCTGGATCGTATGTTACTGTTGAGTGTTTTTTGACAACAGTTTGGTGCACAAAGAGCTGCCTCACTGTCAGAACCGGAATTTCTTTAAACAAGTTACTGGTTGGGTACCGAAAATTCTTCTTAGACATGACCTTGAGGACAGCCCTCTGGGCAATCTCCAGTGGAAGCATAGTTGTTTTTGCTGCACCACCCCAGGAGGTAATGCAGTAGGAGATTATTGATTGACCAAGTGCCTGGTAGGTCATGGTGAGCGTTTTAAGGTCTGCTGAACTTCGAAGAGTTTTAAATACATAGATCAGTTTCCTGACTCGTGATGTTAAATTATTTATGTGTATTTTCCATTTTAGGAACTGATCTATGTAGACACCCAGATACTTAACCTGGGAAGTCCTGGAGATAGTTGCACAGCTACAATTAATAGTGGGATCGATGCATGTGTGCAGTTTAATTTGATAAGTGTCTGTAGGTGGCAGCATAGATGTTTTGTGTGCAAATGTCATGAAACAGGTTTTATTGGTGTTTAGTGTAAGGAGATTAGCTGTTAGCCAGGCCTGAACCTTTGTAAGAGCAGTTTCAGCGTGGTGTTTTGTTTCATCCCAGGTTGCACCTTTTATTAAGAGTACCGTATCATCAGCATACGCATAAATATTGCAATTTGTGGAATGGAGTTCACAGAGGTCATTAACATAGATGGAGAATAATGTTGGGCCTAAAATACTCCCCTGGGGAACGCCGTAGTCCAAAACTTGTTCAGAACTTGTGTAGTTTCCAATTTTAACGGCTTGTGTCCTACCTACAAGGTAATCTGAAAACAGCTTAAGCGGCACTCCTCTTATGCCGATTTGTTCCAACTTTCTCACAAGAATGGGGACGGAGACGGTATCAAACGCCTTAGACAGGTCCAAGAAAATGGCAAGACATTTCCTTTTACCGTCCAAACCGTCGATTATATCATTTACTAGACTTAGTACAGCATCCTCAGCTGATATACCTTTCCTAAAGCCGAATTGGTTACGTGATATGATGTGTTTTGACTCTAAATAACTCGTCAGACGTTTGTTTAGAGCCTTTTCAATCACTTTCGACATTGCGGGCAGAACTGAAATTGGCCTATAATTATTGACAGTATCTCCATCGCCACCCTTGTGAATAGGGTGTATTATAGCTTTCTTAAACATGTTCGGGAAGGTGCCGGTTGAAAAAGAAAGCCGACAGACATGTGTGACAAGTGGGATTAGTATCTCAGCAGAATCCTGTATTATAGCAGCCGAGATACCATCTCGACCAACTGCGCAATCTCTGCGTAAAGATTTGATCAATAGCTCAACCTCACCGCTATCAACGTCGAGTAGCACAAAAGAGTCACGTTGGGTGCTAATCGATGCCACTCGGCCATCAGGTGTGGTCACTAGTATGTGTGAGGTGTTTATTTTAGCTGCCAGATCCCGGCCCGCACTAACAAAGAAGTCATTGACTGCGTTTACAGACAGTGTTGGGTTCTCCTTGATACTCAAGAGAGTGTTAGCGATTGACGCTTTGGGTTGTGTGTTAGTTATTGTTTTTATAGCGTTCCACGTAGCCCGAACATTGTTTTGAGCTGTCTCCAATAGTTTTTGTTGGTAGCCAATTTTTAATTTCCTCAGTAATTTATTTATAAAGTTTCTATATCTTATGTACGATAACTTTAGTATAATATTATTTGGGTCCCTCTTTTGAGCTTTATGCATCCGGTCACGGTTACGGATACATCGTATTAAGCCTGGAGTGATCCAAGGTTTAATGTTCCTTTTTGTACGTCCTACTTTATAAATTGCGGTATTGTTTTTAATTATATTAGAGACGCACGTTATTAAATAGTCTGTAGCAGAGTTTACGTCGTTTGTAAATAGAACCGGGGAGTAATCTGTGTTTTTAATCGTATTTTGTATTGCAGTATGATTAGTTTTATTACGAAATATGTCTGGTCTAGAGATAGTTTTCTTCAGTGAGAGTAAAAGAAGTGTGGGCAAGTGATCAGTAATATGAGTGTGGATAATTAGTGTAACTGATTGTAACTTTGATTTTAACAGAACATGGTCCAAACAGTTTTCATATCTGGTTGGAATATTGTGTGTGGAAATTAAACCGTGAGACGTTATGAGGTTAAGATATTCATGGGATCTTTTGTCAATGGTATTTGTTTTAATATCTATATTAATATCCCCGGTGATGCAAACATTTTTGTATGTTTTTAGTGTTAACAGTGTTTCGTTTAATCCATTGAGGAAATTATCCAATTGGGTATATGAAGGCGATCTATAAATAGCCACGATTGCCAGATCTCTGCCGAATTTGCAAATCA